GCATTAAACCCAAAAGTTATAAATTTTTTTCTATTAATCTAAACTTCAACTAATACTCTTTTCTTTCTTTTATTTTTACTTATTTATTTTTGAGACAGGTTCTCAGTATGTAACCCTGGCTGACCTGGAACTTGCTATGTAGACCAGGCTGGCCTCAAACTCAGAGATCTGCGTGCACCACCACGCTAAGCAATTGATGCATCTATATTTCAGGACACCACACAGTCTACCTGCTGTATTATTTTGTTTGGATCAATGCATTTGTTACATCTATCATAAACTGAACTGAGAGAATCTGAAGCAGAGCTAGAACAGCTTCTCCTTCAGCTGTTCCTCACTTTTTCACATACAAAAGTAGGTAAACCATTTAACCTGTAATTTATGCACTCCCTATATATCAATAATGCATAAGTGGACCCAGACACAGAAATGATACTCCAGCTCTACATGTTTGTGTTTCTGAGCCACGAAATCTGAAAAACTTTCCCAGAAGTACAAATATCATTTCCATGATATTTCACATACAGAATTGAAATATGCTGATTTGTCAGCCCTGAAAAACAAATAAAATAGATAACTTTGCAAACAGGAAAAAACTAAGTTTATCTAGGTAGAAGCAGTCAAGTTGTATATTACATCGCAAAGCTATTCAGTAACTTATTTCCTCTGTTCTACAGCTATCAGGTAATGCAGAAGCTTGGATGGTCGAGACAAATAAGTAGCAAGACCAAGAAAGAAATGTACTCTCACATCCATGATTAAATTCTAGTTTTTCAGTCAAGCTTGGTGGCATACACCTTTAATCCCAGCATCGTGAGGCAGAGGCAGCTGGAGTTCAGGGAGTTCCAGGTCAGCCTGGTCTATATAGCAAGTTCCAGGTTAACCAGGGCTATACAGTGAGGCACTGTCTCAAAAAAACTATTTTTCATCTCTGAATATATTTGAAATTTTAAATATTGTCATGCAGAATTCATTCCATCTCATTTTCAAGCATAGGTCCATCCAGCTATGGTCTGCCATTTCAAGGCACAGAATCACCTAGATCTTTTAAGAGATCATTTCCATTAATTTTGCCAAACAACATCCCCATGAGCCAGCTGTCTTTGAGAAAATATGACTCATGGCTCCCTCAGTCTTCATCAAGGAAGAAGTGCTAGACTGTGAGTCAGGAAGCTCAGACTAAGCTCTCAGGATCTAGAAAGGACTCACTGAAAAGACCTGTTTGTGCCTCTTCTGTCAAAGGCACTGGTGGCAAAAGCATCATGGAGGTGAGGGGGATGGGTTTGAGAACCTTTACAGTCAAAGGACTGCATACATCCTTCCCCTCAACAAATCTCTTCCTTGAACTACACTTTCCAAAGGAAAGTAATAACCTTCTCTCATTCAAACAGAGCTCCTTTGCATTCATGAGTTTTCTCCCCAGGCAATCAGTAGCTCCAAAGTCAGAGGTGGAAGCACAGGGTGGGTCAAACTGGTTCACTACCAGTTCATAAGCAGCCCTTTTTGCACCAGGAAAGTTTCCCTCACCAGAATCAAAGAGAGCCACTAAAAACTGGCTTCATATTAATCTTGGGAACAATCTGACTTTACTTCTTTATTGACTTTTGGAAGCTTCATTAACATTAAGTCAAATTCAAAAGAAAAAAAAACTGTAGAAGTGACTAGACCTAATTTCCTTTGGCTGTTTGTCTGGAAGGGATTCTTTTGAGATGTGATTTCAGTCACCAAAAGCAACTCTCTCCCAAAGAAGCAAGTTTAACTCTCCCAGACACCCTTCTCCAAATTGTGGGCACGATCCAGGGTGATGCAGGCAGCACCCTGGCTGGTCTTGAACTTGCAGCTATCCTCCTGCCTCTGCTTCAAGGCACCCTTTAAAACTAGTTAATTCCTGACAGTAGTTACATATTCCATTCTAGAATTCAGAGACTGCTTCAGTGAGGGAGTTGGGGGAGCTGAAGATTCAGACCAGCACCCCCCCCTTTTTTTTCTATCAGTCTTGCTCCTGAGCATGAAGCAAGTTAATACAATTGGAAAAGATTCATACACTGTTAGGTTTACTAATTTTTATACTTTCATAAAGAACAGTCTCCCCATAAAGATTTTAGGCTCTGGAAACTAATGCTGTAACCATTTCATATTAAAAAAAGCAAGTTTCTAATAGTTCTCTCAAAGTATTAGCGGCTGTGTATACATTATGTTTGCAAGTTCCAAAGAAACCCACACTCTTAAGTCCTGGAACACACAGCATATGCCTAGCTGCAACTACTATATTCTGACTACTTCTTTCCAACTCCAATCCTCAATAAACTAAATGTTTTCAAAATATCAACAAAAAAATCCTATTTTTTTTCAAAATTAAGACAATTTATATGATAGTCAACAAAAGTTCCATTTCTAAGAAATCTACCACAAAAGCAAAACAAAAAAGTTTCTACTTTCAGAGGAATATATAACCTTAATTTTAAAACAGTCCACAAGACAGAAATACTTAGTTCGCTCATCATTCATCTACATGCTATTTAGATGCACAATAAAACTACTGTGATTAAACACTGAACTGTGAATCTCTAAGTTCAATGAGACTGACAATCCAAATTAATTGTCCCAAGAGCAAACATATCCTCTTTGTCACATATGGCTCATGGCTTTACTGTGTAAGATTACATATCACAAATAATGCTTTGGTTTCTCTTAGCACTATTCACAGAAACTTGGCCTGGCTCTCCAGTTTCCCTGAAATCCAAAAATATCTTGGAATCTTTTCCATAAATTCTGCCTTTGAATCTCAAAGATTATCTAATCTCGTACACAGCACAATAAGAATAAACTTGGGCTACATTCAAGGTATAACTAAAGGGATATTTACAACATGATATATACTCTCAATACACAGGCTAAGAAAACAACAGACATAATGGCCGGCCTTGTGGCTTTGTTTCCAACTACATGGCATGTGGGGTAAGCCAGGCAGATCATGAGAAATAATGTACAGGCCTTCTATTTTAATTGCTAACATGCTGAGTGACCACACTGATAACTCAGATAATAACATTTTGCAGGAAAGCAATCTTAGCAGAAATGACTTTTTGTATTCTTACACTGAGGCTCTGCAGCATGCATTAAAGAGGCTGCATGACATGTAAGCCAGGAAGTGCTGCAGAGTCCATCTGGGGTCAGGCGAGTTCCACCTATGTGACCTCAGGCAAGAAACACCCTGAGCCTCAGTTTCCTTTACTAGCAAATGTAGATAAAAGTACTTATCTATTTAGGTGACCAAGAAGAGTCAAGGAGGTAATCCAATTACAGCAGCTTAACGCTGCGGCTGGCACACAAGGTATCCAATTTACCCTTTATCTCACTTTACTTCTGTCATTAGTTTGAGGGCTCAGGCATTGGAACAATCAAACCTGGGTTCAAATCCCCATGCTCTGCCAGTGTTAACTATTTCATAGACCAAGGTGTCTTAATCACAGCTTCTGTGCCATGGGCTCCTGGGGCAGGCAGTGTGATGAATAATGGCTCTCTCTGGATAATCTATTTAATATACTAATAAAATATATAGGAATACAAAGGAAACAAATTATATGGAAGTATACTTTCCAAAATATTTTAAAGTAATGGTACAGTATTAGGTTTTTCTTTATTACTTACCAAACAAGATAAAGCAGTTCCTTAATTTTACACGGAGTAAATATAAGAGACTACTTTTAAGACACCTGCAGTAACTGTAATGACATTATGAAACTCTATGTGGTTTCTCTTTGTGGCAACAGCTCAAGTACTGGAACTATAGGGGTTTTTGTCTATTTCCACTCAAAGAAACACTCTTTTTTTCAGTTAGAGTTTAGCAAAAGTGAAGATGCAACTTGTTTCTCATTCCAGTTTTCTACTCCTTGGCTCCATTAGGAACCCCTTTCTTAGAACAATTAGTAAAACGGAGGCAGAAGCTGAGCCACTGAGATGAGGATTAAGTATTTTAAAAAGCAGGTAGCACTCTGGTGGTTCTCTATTTTAGAGTTCTTTCCTTCCTAGAAAGTTCCATCTCCTAGGAAAAAAGATTTAAAGTCCCATCTACTCAATCTTCAACATCTATGCTTCTATTGCTCTCCCATGATCGGAGTTTTCAAACTTACAATAAGTTTCGCTTAGCCTCCAGAAACATCTCCAAACCACTATCCTACATCAAGTATTATTCTGAAGAGACTTCCTGTTATTGCATATGGTGCAGCCCCACTTTCTGGCAAAAGTCTAAAATAACGTATGAACGCCTCTTTAGGTTCCCTTACCTCTGCTGTCTCAACTAAAATGAAATCACACCGAACAGCTTCGCTCTTACAGCAATCACCCGTGCTTGGTCCTCGCTGTTTTTAACGTTCATTACAAAACCGGTGGCCAGCGCGCAAAGTCGGGCTGCGGTTCTTACAATAGCGCTTCTCTGACAGCAACTGCGGTCCATCACCCTCTCCCCTCCAGCAACCCCGCGCGGTCCCGCTCTTTGCCTACTCAGCACAGTCACTCAAGCTGTTCCGTTTTATGTGGAATCGTCCATTCCAGCAGGGAAATCTTCACTCGCTCACCAGGCAAACTCTCTCCCACCCTCTCCTGGGCCAATTCTATTTTCCAGAAAGTTATCGTTCCAAATTCCGTTCTAGATACCAATCGAGCGATCAGCAGGAACAAACGGATAGGTGCACAAAGAACGTCAAGGAAAATTTAGACACCCGCAGACAAGTGAAATCAAAAGCATTCCCCGAAAAATAACGGTTATTTGGGGGAGGGGGACAAGAGCTGGATCTAGAACTTTAACACTAACTTTTCGGGCACTCGCTCTCCGGACCATGCAGCCGTCCCGAGGGGTGCCCAAACTGTCCCGACAGTCAGGGAGTGCGGCGAGGGCGATGACAAAGCTGCTCCGGCGATCCTCGCCGGCCTCCCCCGCCGCCCATCCCGCCTCTCCCGGGTCGCCGACCGGTCTCCAAAGTTTCTCGCGCCCGCCTCACCTGGAGCGGGCTGCCATGGCTCGGCTTACAGCGCCCGGCGTCGCGCGTCCATCAGAGCCTGCGCCCCGCGGGCCCCGCTGCCAGCGCCGTTCCGCACCGGCCAGCCCCGGCCGACGCTCCTTCGCAAACGCCTGAGCCGCGGCGACTACCTGATCGGAGCCGGCGTCCGGGCCGCTGCGTCCTCAGCACCGCCCCCGCCTCCCGGCGCATTGGCTCGCGCTAATCCTGATGGACATCCGGGCACTCCGCGGCCGCACCTCCCACGAGTCCGGAGCGATGCGGTCCGCCCCGCGCTGCCCACCGCCCTCGCCGCCCCCGGGTCCCCGCAGCCTGCCGGCTCTGCTCCCCGGCCGCGGCCGCTGGAGCCCGCCCCGAGTTCCCGGGGAAGGCGAACGGCTCTCGGGCCACCCCTTGAAGCGGCCCGAGTTCGCCGGGATTCCCCCGTCAGGAAAGGGATGGTGGTACGGCCCGCCTCTTTAAAAGGGCAGGGCGCTCGCGGCCCCCGACGCTGGGTCCCGCGGCTGTGGGGCCGCTGCGGCCGTGTGCAAACTCACGCCGCCAGACACACGCCTAAACCGCGCCGCGGACTGCGGCTTGGCCTCCCGCGCTCCGGATAGTCGCGCTCCCGAGCCCACCCGGGAGCAGGGGGCCAAACCGCAGCCCCGAACCGTGACCACTGCTTCCGAGGATCACTGCGGGGCTGACAGTGAGGAAAGGGCAGGAAACACACACGTTTGCTTTAGCTTCACTTTCAGTTTTGATTTTAGCGCATAGAGATGTTTACAAAACGACTTCCCTTTGGGGGCAACAGGCAGATTACACCGAAAACAGTCACTGAGGCAGGTCTCCAAGAAAGTTAACCCCCCCCCGCAATAAAAAAGGATGCAAACCAACAATATAGGCAACACTGGGAACCAGGAAAGGCATTAAACCATGCCTGAAACAAGCAGTGAAGGACTGCGCCGGGCAGTGATGCAGGGAGCGTGCTTCAGCATCGCAAGGACCGGCTTGCTGGCGCTGGAAACCCTTAGAGGAAGCCTGTGCACTCCCCTTTCGACTCAATATTGCACATCTCACAGACAGTCCACACCGACTCAATATTGCACATCTCACAGACAGTCCACCCGGTGTTACTAAGAAACTGGAAGGCAGGCATAGTAAGGTCTGGTACCAAAACTACAACACTCCATCTCTAAAATAACGCTGGACCCCTGGGAGCTTCCAAGACCTCACCTATCAGACCCATTTTCAGAATAATACACAATGTTTGTCTTTTCAATTGTCTTTTCACAGTACTAGCTTTAGCACTGAAGGTGGAAAGGCAGCTGTGGGGAAGTTGAGACCTCCTTTACCACTAATCAAGGCTGTGGCACCAAATGAGCCCAGGATCCTGCGTTCATCTTCACCACCCACATTAGCGGTTTTAAAACCAGTGTCCTTTATGAATGCCCCAACGAAGCAACCAGTCAGAATTATTCCTTCTATTAATCTTGGCTCTGGGGCTTGGAACTTTTTGATAATCTCTGTGACAAAATGGAAAGTACTCGCAGAGCGCTCTGCTGGACAAGGAAGTACAATGGCTGCACAAGACTCACTTGTCAGACAGTTGCAAGCTGAACTTGCTATTTGTTGATGGACTACAATTTTTACTTGAAAGAACAATTCACAAACTGGTTGTTCTGACTTGGGTATCTGAGTATGTAGCATATCTTTCTTCAAGGAAAAGAACTGACAGTTTTTATCACTAATGATGTTTAGGCTTCCAAGCATTTTGGAAAACTTTACATCTACCACTGTAAGCATGGCAGTTTCCCTATACTTAGAATGTGTTACTGACAGACCATGGTGACCTGATTTTAGAGGGCTTTCATGACTCAGTGAACAATAGACTACAAATGCCAATGCATGATGGTTAAAAAAAATGCATAAGTATGTGAAAGATCCCCCAAAAGTTCGAGGCAGAACAATGAATTTCAATATACAATTTATGAAATTTTAATATGTTAAAGAAGGTATGAAAATAACTCTTCCTAACTCTTCCTAGCCAGGCATGGTGGCACAGCCTTTAATTCCCAGCACTCAGGAGGCAGAGGCAGGCAGATCTCTGTGAGATTGAGGCCAGCCTGGCCTCCATAGCAATTCCAGGCCATCTGGGGCTACAAGAAGACCTTGTCTCAAAAAGATGAAAGAGAGAGAAAGAAAGTGAGAATAAGTATGGGATTAAAATTAACCCCAATATTCTCTGGGGTTCTCAGAGTGGTTTATAATGTAAATTAATCTACTATGGAAGTGGGATTTCAGTAGCTTCTTAAGAGCTAAAAATACTAGAAGGAAGTACAGAAGTCACCCTCCCCTCTCATGGGGTGTGTGTGTAGTGCTCCAGGCCAGCTCAACACTATTTACTGCCAAATGTTTTAAAAATACCATGGTCTAGCTCAGCAAAGAAGCAGAACAAGCCATTCTTGACCCTTTGAGAACACAGAATTCCTTGGCTTTCTGATGAAATGCTAGACCCAATACTCCAACATCTATCATACTTTGATGTGGCTCACATTTCTCTGTTGTCCATCTAGGAAGTACTTGAGGCAGGTCAAGAAGGCTTAGGTCCAGCTAGCACAGACAGGTCACTTCACAAATAAAGTGAAAGATCAGTAGTCAAACTTCACAGCCCATTAAAAAATTCAGAATTAAGCCCAGTGTGGTGGCACACACCTAAAATCTCAGCCCTCAGGGGCAAAAGTGGTGGAATCACAGGATAGCCTGGTCTACATAGAGAGTACTAGCCTAGCCAGGACTATATATACTCTGTCCCAATTAATTAACAAATAACTGATGATGATGATGTATGCCTTTTAACCCAGCACTTAAGAGGCAGAGGTAGATGGACCTCTGTGAGTTCAAAGCTGGCCTGATCTACATACTGAGTTATAGGTCAACCGGGGCTACTACATATATAGTAAAGCCCCACCTCAGAAAAAAAAAAAAGTAAAAATTAATTTCAAACTTAGAACTCCCTTAATTGCCCAGTAGTGACAGAAAGGTGCTGTGGAACAGCAGGACATCACTCACACAATAAAAGAACAATGTTCCCAGAGCACATGTAGATCCTTTCTATATTTCCTAAATTCATTACTCCTACAAGCAACCAAAGGTAACAAGAAATACAGAATCTACAAGGTGAGTGAGGTAATCATTGTAGCATCTGAAGTGAGTTCTTGAATTAGCTCTTTAAATTAATGAGCTTTAAAAATAACTCTTGCATGCATGTAATGCTAACACACAATAGATGTGATCCATCTTCAAACCCAGGGCTTGTACATGTTGGGAAAGCTCTCCATCACTCAACTACAGCCCCAGCTAGATGTAATATATCTTAAATATAATCACATCATATTTACCGAAAAATGAAAATAAATAGACCATTTCTGAGACTAAAGAATCAGGAGCTCAAGACTATACTTGGGAGCTGGGCTACAAGAGACACTGTCTCAAAAGCCAAATAAGGCCAGGCACGGTGGCACACACATGTCATGCCAGCACTAGGGAGGCAGAGGCAAGCAGATCTCTCTGAGTTCAAGCCCAGCCTGGTCTACACAGTAAGTTCCAGGCCAGCTAGGGCTATATAATGATACCCTGCCTCGAAAACATAAAGAAAAAAGTCAGAATAGAGAGAAGAGAATAAAGAAGGAGGGGATGAGAAGGGGAGAAGGGAGGGGTAATGGAAGGGAAGACTGGAGGGGACAGAGGAGAGAAGAAAGAAGGGAAGACAGAATACTGATGGTAGTACCCCACTGTTTTTAGTTTTGGGGGTTTTTTTGTTTTTGTTTTTTTGTAAAACATAGGAATCGATTTTTATATGGATATTTTGAATATTTCAAGGTACTTGCTATGTAGAGCAGGTTGGCTTAGAACTTTCAGCAATCTTCTTGCCTCGGCCTCTTGAGTGCTGGGATTCCGAGCCTGTACTACCATGCCCAACTTAACATGCCATTATAAAAAAAACAGTTATAGCCAGGCGTGGTGGCGCACACCTGTAATCCCAGCACTTGGGAGCCAGAGGCAGGCGGATCTCTGTGAGTTCAAGGCCAGCCTGGTCTACATAGTGAGTTCCAGAACAGCTGGGGCTTACAGGGAGACCCTGCTTCAAAAAAGACCAAACAAAAACAAAAACAAACAAACAAAAACAACAACAACAAAAAACAGTTATTCATCACTCCAAAATACCTCAATGTATGCAACCGTACCATAACGGTTATTTTAAGTGTTCTACCCCTTACAGTATTTTGTTCTGAAAATTATACAGATCAAGGGGCTGGAAAGATGACTCAGGATTAAGTGCACAGGCTATTCTTGCAGAGGACCCGGGTTTGAATCCTAGCACCCAAATGGCAGCTCACAACTGTTCATAACTCCAGTTCCGGGGGTCCGAGGCCCTCTTCTGACCTCCATGGGCACTGCATGACACGGGTGTACTTATATACATGCAGGCAATACACTCTCACACATAAAATGATAAAAAAATAATAAATAAAATATTTTTTTGAAAAAGAAAATTATATAAGTCAAATCTCCTTGATTTCAATGGAATGGTGTTTAATGAAGACTCAGCTAAAATCATTTCCCTGGAAGAAGTGCCCCAGGTTCTCAAACAAAAACAAAAACAGAGGCAGGAACTGGAGAGAGTTAAAGAGGCATATTCCCTGGAGGGCAGAGATACAGGGAAAACAGTGCTAACAAGCCCTGCTAGAAATTATGGCTTCTTTCAGCAGCTGCCTCTGCACAGAGGGGCCCTCCTGGCACCACCCTTAGAACAGTCTTAGGCACTGTTTACAGCTTTTCTCCGCACATCTCTTCCACCTTTGTCTGCAATCTGGGGTTACTTGGAGATTCTACTTCCAGGTCTGTAATTTCCAAATGCCCTCTCCCTATACAGACCCCAGACATCTTTTTTGTTATAAACACTATCCATTCACAATCACTTTCCACTGGCCTTTTCCCTCTGGAAAAAGAAAAGCCATCCTCTAATCCATCTCAAATCAATCTTAAATGGTGCATTGCTCCAGGCCTAAGAACTTGCTACTTTCAAGGAACAGTTCTTCCCAGAGGGAGGGTGAGTCCCAACCCCAGAGCTCAAATCAAAAAATATTAACACATGGCTCCTCATTAACCTCATCCAGGTCACACTTCTGTGGTGAGCCCTCACACCTCACCCACCAGGCATTCCACACACAAGGGAGGGGCACAGTCAACTGCAGTCAGTCTTCCTTTGATAGACAAATCCAATTTAGCTGACTGGTTTGAGAATGAGGACTTGTAAATTTTCAACATTTTTAAAGAGGAATTCAAACAGAAATGGAAATTTAAAGACTACTAC